AAATCAACTTAATTTTGCTACATCCAGGTCTCTCAAATAAACATGCTGATAAATTAAACTTTTCATCTTTTCTCTTTTTGGGGCACAGTAGGGTGCTATACCCAAGAACAAGCCCCGAGCGTACCCCAGGGAGGGCTGCGTAAGCGAGTCCTTTAACGGCAGCTGTGTTGGTTCCCACACAGGTGGGAGGGGGAGGCGGCTCAGGGCGCGTGTCACACCCTGCAGCCTGAGTGGGTTCTTGCCCTCCTGGCTCATCTCAAGCCATTGTCTGTCAAATGACGCAGAGAGCACATGGTGGCAAAGGTGCTGAGGATAGGAACCGGTCATCAGCTCTGTTCCTTTGCCCAGGGATGCTCAGGATGATCCTACGCCAGCTGCCTTGCTGAGTGTCACCAACTGGTGCCCGGGACCCTGCGTCTCCCATGCTCCCTGAATGAACTCACACTTTGGATTCAGGGACAGAAATTCTGCTTCCATAGAAGGAAACGCCATAAGACAATACACGGGACAGTTCCAACATGAAAAACTTAACATGGTGTCCAGCCCTCTGCAGGAACAGCCTGTGTGTTTCTCAACCCCCAGGGAACCCAGCAGTTCAGCAAGTTCAGGGGTGCCCAGGAGCCATCGCTGGTGGGGTCACAGAGCCCTCAGTTGGGACTCCTGCCAAGACACTGTTAAGGTCAATGCTGCTCCCCCCCACGTGGGAGGTCCCTGCACACGTCACTCACCCTCTTTGAGCCTCAGGCAAAGGGACAGAGAATCAAAGGAGAAGGGGAATCAGGCAGGTTTAGGGATTTTGTGTTTACAAAATTCACTCCATGGCTTGAAACCGGTCTCACATGCTGGGGGAAAAGGAAGCTGAGATAGAGAAGGGAACACCAAGTACAGGATGCTTGAAGGGCTGGCACAGGATGGGAGATGCGTGCTGAAAGTAGATTATGGACCGGAAATGATGGCTACTTAGTACCTGTATTGCTAAATATAACACCCAAAAGGAGAGAGTAAAAGGGAATATGCCTGCCACAGAGGCAGCGGTGGGGGCGTGGTGGTGGTGTTTAGGGGGATGGAGGGGTGGCGGGAGGGATACTGGGAACATTGGTGGTGGAGAATGGGCACTGGTGGAGGGATGGTACTTGAACATTATATGACTGAAACGTAATCACGAAAGTTTCCAAACCTGTAACAGTATCTCACGGTGATTCATTTAAAAAATTTAAAAAAGAAAATCTTAGAAGACACCACAGAGATGGCCTGAGCACTGTCGTGGATCACTCCTGAATCCAGAGCCAGTCTCATCGGAAAGAGTTTAAATTGTTTTTGCAGATTTTATCCCAGTGGTTCTTTTCGCTGGAAGTTCTCTTTTATAATGGACACAAATGAAAAATAAATAAAATAATAGTATAAATTTCGTATGATTCATAATAAAACTCTCGCAGGCCTCATTTTAAAAGAGCCAGTGACGAGCCCTGAGCTTCTGGAGCTAGTGGTGTGACTGAAGGGGCGAGGGTTGTCACAAAAAAACCCTGACAACAGTAAAAGGTTTCTGAAGATGCAATGACAATCAGGCTCAGAATAAATCTGGGGTGTTCCTTGCAGCGCTGGCTCGTGTGGCCCTTATCTTCCCAGGGGAGGTGCCCTGAGACAGAGCTCAGAGTGTGAGGTGCTTGCGGTGCACGCAGCTGAGCCCAGTCTGATCCCTGGCACCACAGAGATGATGGTGAGGTGAGGGAGGGATAGCTTGCCGGACTCTTTGAGAGGGGTGGAAGAATAGAACCCGGATCAGCCCTGGTCAGCAGTGTGCAAGGCAAAACGCCCTACCTGCTGTGCTATCGCTCCAGCTCACTACAGCAGAGCTGTTTTATAAAGGGTTGGGTATAAGGAAGGGACAGCTAGACGGGAAAGAGGCTGAGGAAAGGCTTCTTCGGGGTCCCCGCACTCTCCAATCTCTGTGGCGTCCACCAACGCAGAAGGCCTCTCTGAATTCCATCTTTTTAAAATGCACAGTGAGGCTTCATTCATGACAAATGATATCACTGGCCCACGGAAGCACAGCACCCACCAGGAAGCTTGGGGGTGGGACTGGGTGTTCCAGTCCTCTAATCAAGTGGGTGGTTCTCCAGGCAACCAGCTCCCAGAGTCAGGTGGGGTCTCCCAAGACCTGATTAGCATCACAAAAGACACCTTTCTCAGGGGTTTGGAAATGTCAACGCTCTGGGAAGCTGGGAACCAGGAACTGGAAATGAAGAACAAATCTAAGAGAAATATTTTGGCTCATCTGCACAAGTCTATCTATGTATTTATTACTCTCACTAGGGAATATTTTGAAAGATGGGTAAATGTGAAAACAAAGCAGAGAATGGACCTGCTAGTGCCATCGTGGTAAGATCTGCCTTTGGTGTATACAACTCATCCTTCTATAGATATAAAAAGCTGAGAAAGGTTTGGAGTAATGTAAGGACTGCATACCGATGCCATCACAAGTATAATTTTAGAGACCATTTATGTATCACTGCTATTATGACGATATGAGGGAGCTTCTGAAAAATCTAAGCCATGGCTCTGGTATATGAGAGATCCCTTTCCCAGCATAAGGTCTTTGGGATAAGCGAGATCCCCTTCCCGAAAAATATATATGGTTGTGCAGATGAGCAAAAAGCAACTAAGCCCCTCTGGACTTGGGTGGGAAGGGCCCTGACACATATGCTCTCAGGGTTTTCCTGGTCTCCAGCTCATCTGCTAACATGAACATACTTGCCTGCAGCTGGAGACTACCTAACACCGCCCTCCCCCCCACACACACATGCGGACACACACACACACACACACACACGTACATGCACAGACTCCTGGGCACTGTTACTGTACTCAAGGCCTGGGAAGGGGCCTGAGGTGAAGGCAGAAACGCCAGGCCTCAGTTCCCCGTTTCCATTTCTTCCTCAATTCAGCTTCCCAAACTGGGTTTGCACAGGGCTCGGACCCTCACCATGGTGGCAAGCACAGTTCTGAGGAGGGCTGCAGTCCCTTCATACTGTGCCTAGAAGGGGCACCTCTGATCTCAAGGCTCAGCTCTGCTTTGCTTTATTTGAGGGGAAGAGAACACCAGGCAGTGCTCAGGGCTCACTCCTGGCTCTACTCTGCATCCCAGATGGTGTGGGGATCGAACCTGGAGCAGTCCGTGTGCAGGGCAAGTGCCCGACCCGCTGGAATGTCTTTCCTGCCCCACCAAGCCTTCTGTTTCCAAGTGTTTTCTTCCTCCCCTCCCCCGGAAGCAAGCTCACATCATGGTTGCTTCTGGGAATCCCCCCAAGACAGGCAATGGTGATTTTTCGTTTATTCCAATATGGGAACGTTCATGTAAAGGAAGTGATCGCAAAACAGGCTGACGGTGTTTATAAAGTCCGTCTAAATGTTCATCATTTCATTCTTGTTACTTGTTACTACAGTATTTAGAAAGATGGCCTGTTACCTTAAAAAACAAAAAGACTTCTTTCTTATTTTCATGAAAAAAAACATACAATGCCAGGTGAAGAAAGCTCTCACATAAAAGGGAATTATTTCCCCCAAATTGCAATTTGCATTTATAGTCACAAGAAACTATTAAAATACATTTAAAAAAAATCTTTAAACCAATCTATGAGGATTGCGAGATTCCCCACTGCTCTGCTATTTTTTCACTCTGTATGCACAGCACAGATTCCTGCCAAGCCGATTACAGTGAACAAACAATGTCCCCTCTGTGAGAACAGAGCATGAATAGTATCACAAAATTCTTCTCTAATGTACAGCCTCCATTTCCCCAGCCCAGCCCTTCGGAAGAGATTCAGGATGGGGACTGACGAGGAAAACATTCCTCCCTGCCTGGCAATCTGAAATCACCTTCCAGCAAGCTAAAGACCAAGTAATGTCAACCATACATTAGCTGCTAAACAGAGAAAGTTGACACATTTATTTTCTTTTAAATTGGATCGTATATTTTCCATTCCTGTGTGCGTGTGCATGCGAATATCTCTATCAGGAAGGAAGAGGGCGTTTCAGCAGATGTGAGTTCAGGATTTAGCAAAGAACAGCTTTGAGCTAGGGACCGAGTCGCAACAGGGGTACTTCACAGAAATGACACAGCAATTTGTGTTAGAATATTGGCAGCTAATTCATGAGTGCTGATGCTGCCTATGAATCTGGCTGCTTCTGTTAAGCCCTTTATTCCCACTAAGGTCATGGTTCATAAAGAAAGTGCCTCGAGTTACTCCTCTGAAACACACAGTATGATGCTGATAGACTTCACTTTGGTTGTAATTTCTCATTCATTCATTCATTCATTCATTCACTCTCTCTCACTCTCTCTCTGTATGTGTGTGTGTGTGTGTCTGTCTGTCTCTCTCTCTCTCTCTCATCACATACCTCCCAAAAGAGCCACTAGGGAATATGATCTTCCAAAACCAACTTTATGGAACATTCTCAACAACGTACCAATGGTTTACTTTGCAGTATGTTTATAAAAGTCTATGGATTTATTTATGATTGCCTACATTTGTAAAGTTTTTACTGATGGACGATAATGATTTAGGTTTCACCCCTCTGTGGCCTCCCACCCCTCACCCCTGTGATATGACGATATATTCTATCTTAGCCTCTGGAGAGAATTACCCAACTCTTTCCTCTGAAAGGAAAAACGCTTTGTTTATAATCAGATCACATAGGCTTTTGTGTCTATGAAAATCTGGGAGAACAACACACACACACAAAGTACAGCTTCCCTGCTCCTCCCCTTTTCCCACAGATTTGTAGTCAGGCTCACTGAGCTCCGAGATGCTGATGGCTTTCTCCTGGTAACACATTCAGGACAGAATGCAGGGTGCACTAACAGCTCTGCTTTCTCTTCTGTTCCCCTCTCCTCCTCGGTCTGGAGTGGAAGAAACAATCCAGCTTTTGTGCTGGAGCACTGCAATTTGCAAACCCTAATGAAGAACCTGCCCCACTCTTGGTACAATGATAATATTTACCTTGGAGAAATGTTTGTCCAAGTAAGCGCTCACAATGTATTCCCCTTGAGAGGTTTGTGGCCAGAGTTCTCTCTTCTTACTTGGCCTGTAACCAAAGAGAAAGAAAGAGAGGGGAAAAATAAGACAGATGGCGAGAGACTGTGTCCAATTCACTGTAAAAATGCTAGCAAAGAGATACTAAAGACAGACTTTTCTATATTTTCCTGCACACAGAAGACTGCAAAGTAGAGAGAAGAGTAATAGGGATGGCGGCTAAATAAAACAATTCTCTAAAAGAAGAGCCAAGTCAAATACAACATTAATGGACACGTTCTTTGTTTCCATCCCCCTGGATTGGTGACAGAATGATCTGTGTGCTATTGTAATGGCATTAATTTGAGATAAAGCAGATTTTTTTTTAAAGAAAGGATTTATGCCTTTAGGTGAAGGAAGCTGCGAGTTAATTGTGAAAATGCTTTCTTACAAGGAAAATCCTGCGAGTGGCATGAGCAGCGTGACAGTTGTTGCTTCACTCATGGCACAGTGGCGGTGGAAAGATGTGCAGAGATGGAGATTTCAGGGATTCCCTGGATCTCTCTCCTGATCCGTCAGCGCTCCTCGGTCCCTTCCCATCTGTGGCTCTGCTCTATTTTTGGTACCCAGCCCTTCCTCCAGCCCTCTTTCCTTGCCAGTTTGTTTCACCTCCTTTAATAAATATCTCCCGTAACCAACCTCTGTTCTACACCACACAACAGGATAGGTGTCCAGGTGAGGAAAGAGAGGGGAGGGGTGGAATGAATGAATGATGCCCTAAAGAGAATATCCGATTGAGCAAGAAACCCAGAACTTCTCGTCTCACTGTTTTTACAGATTGAGATATAATTCCTGATTTTCAATATAAAAAATATAATAGAGTACAAGCCTTCTAGTTTTGCATCTAGCAGTGCGCGTTTTCTTTTGGACAGGGTGTCGGGGGAGAGGCAGACATTCCCATTCAGAGCTCAGGAGACCAGGAAGCCCGGAGCATCAATGCCAGGCTAATCAGACCAGAGGTTTGGTATGCCTATGTAGTATTCCTTGGACCCTGGAGGCAGGGATGTACCAGGCCAAAGTAGGTAGAGCTCTGGGGGTGTCTAGGGCCATTGGGATGCTTATAAGAACCAATAAGTACCAGGGGATTGAGCTGGGGTTGCCTGCATTCAAGGCAGGTGCCTTATCCCTACCATCTCTCCAGCTCTTGAACTGTGCTCTTATTAAGGCCACACATGACGTTATTTGACTGGATGATGCCCTCTCCCAAGTCAGCAGATTATGTGGATTATCTTGAGATACATCTATTGTTTCCCGGACAGCTCCCAAGTGAGAAACAGCTGTCTTTGTTTACCACAGCATTCAGCTACATTATTATTTTCATTTTAAAAACAAGTCTACCGAGATGAGAACAAGATACACAATCACGGGCTGTCTTCTTACAAGCTGACTGCAGGTCCCTCTACTGTCACCTAGTAAACTGCAAGGGCAGGAAGGCACTGGGAAAGGAAAAAAAAAAAAGAACTGGCCAGAGCCACCCACATATTATCTTTTCTTTTATCCTTTTATCAGATTTCTAGTCAAACGTCTCCTGAACGCAGGCCATACAGATACATGAAAAATGTGGATTCCGCCTGTAAACATCTCTTCTTCTCCATGTTATTTGGTTAGACCCAGAGAATTCTCCTGAATTCATTATAATATGAGCAAAGTTGGTAATCTAGATCAACTTTGGCAGAAAAAAAAATGAAAATATAATCTTTCTTAAATTGCTAAATGTTACTGCTATGCATCAAAATGTTTGCATATATCTTCCTTGTTACTGGATGTGAACAAAGACTGATCTGAAAGTTGAACAAATGAATTGACATGGATAAATGATAATTTTCATACTCTGTTGATGGGAATATAAGATGATATAGCTACTTTGAAGATAGTCTAGTTGTTATCAAAAGGTTATGGGGGCTAATAGGGGTTATCATTAGATACAGTAACTTCACGCCTATGCATGCATCACAAAATATTAAACTATGTATCCAAATAAAAAGTTATGTATGGTTGTTGACGGCAGCATTATTATAAATGGCCCTAAGTGGAAACATTACAGATGTCTGTCAACTGGCAATCAGATCAGTAAAGTATGGTACATACTTTATATCAAAGTTTAATTGGCTACAAAATGGAATGAATCACTGATATATGTTAGAACCTGCAAGAACCTTACAAGCATGCCAATACACACATAAACACACACACACACACACACGCACAAACACACAGCCCACCCTATAATGCTGCCATTTACACAGAATTTCCAAAATGGCAAATACATAGAAACAAAATGAGATTAATGTTTGCTTGTGATTGTGGCTGATGGAAGCGACAGTTAAGCTCTCTGAGGTAATGTTTAGGTAATGAAAATTCTGAAAGTCATTTAAATGATACACAAGTCAATGAATATATTGTTTACTTTATGGTGAACTGTAGGCAATGTGAATTATATTTCAACAAGACTACTACCAAAAGTATCCCAAGTGATGTGAATAGTACAGTGTCATTTCCCATACCATCATAAAGACTTAGGGCAAACCTAAGGGTAATTTTAACGAAAATCTCTGCAATCCTGGAACTCAAGCATGGCCACCTGGATCATGGAAAATAATCATATTCAGACTGTCAACCTGTGTAAAATTCTGCAGGCTCCAGATGCTCCTTCAACTCCCATTTCATTTTTCATAACTAAGCTTGCATGTGGACAGCAGTTAATCACTAAAAATAATTACAGCTCCAATGAGAGGTTGTATGCTTTCAGTGGAGATTCTGTTCTGCAGAACACAATTTCGGGACCTCTGAAATAGGTCACTCCTTGCATCTGACGGCCGTGCACTGCATACATTAAATTAACGAAAGGGCAAGCTCAGCACTGCTTCTTCCTTTCCTCCTTCACTGACAGAGTTTTCATGAGGATGGTTAGCCGCCTCTAAACACCACGATGATGTTAAGTAGGCTCAAACTGATGAACTCTGATAGTCCATGATGCATTTTTACCAATTAACCTAAGGCTTGCTTGTTCTGATAAAGTCACTCAGAGGAACTAAAACAGAGTTCGATTTCTGGGTCACTGGGACTCTGGGGATGAGATATGCACTTGACAGATGGTCAGATCCAAGCCTCAGCTGGCACAACAGAGGAGAGGTCTAGAGAGAGAGAAGAATGTCTTCTCAGAACTGTGACCTTCCAGTGCTTTTTGGGGAGCAGTGACAGCAATGATAACACACCTTTCTGCTACCTGGCAGCACAGACCTAGGTGAGCCTATACCAGACTCGTGTGTGTGTGTGTGTGCCGCATGTGTGTATGTGCGCATGTGTGCATGCGTGCATGCGCGTTGTGTGTGTGTGTGTGAGAGAGAGAGAGATACCCAATTATGCACTCATTACTCCTGGTGATACTCCAAGAACCATATGGCGTGCAAGCGATCAAACCTGGGTCAGTCATGTGCTCAGCAAGCAGCCTACCCACTGTCCAACCGTTCTGGCTCTTCCATGATGGTCAAATAGCAATGATCAAACTTTGGAAGGTAATTGGAAATTGGAAGGTAATTTATAAGCCCATTTCACTCAGTACTTGAACTCTTCGTATAATGCCTGCGACAACCACTTTATAAGTATGATGTCAAAAGGACTTGGTTAAACGTATCAGGTAAACATATGAAGCACTGAGCGAGTCATGGTGCTCAGCAAATAATAATTATTCCACATTAACCCATTAATTTAGTAAATTAAGTTTTAAAAACTGGAGTAAACTCAAGGTTATTGCTTTAATAAAGCCATTGCAGTTTCTGAAGATTAAGGAAGGATTATTTCTCATGATTAGCATATTACACTGTAATAATATATCACACATGCCAGTGCCTTCTGAGTAAACACCATCCTTTATCCATATTCTAACAGAAATGGGCAAATAAATCTTTTGCCTGACAGTTCAGCCTAGGCTAGAGTCCCTCCCATAAAGGGCTTCCAGAAGGAATCCTTTTGCTGCTTCTGGGAAATACTTTTAAGTTGGAAAATCAGGGTAAGGAAGTTTCTTCTAAATCCTAGTGGCTTAGTGGCTTCAACTTAGTTGCAGTCCTGGTTGTAACTGCTAGGGCCATATAGAACAAGTCCTATATTTGCTCAACTTTTAGATACTTGGAAACACCCATTTAAAGAAGTCCTTCTCCTACATTCAAGGCTTCCTTTCCCCATTTCCAAGAATACAGTTGTGAGATCACCTGCCGTAACTCAAATATCACAAAGGCTGTAAGGAGAAGTGAGCTATGCCCTGACCAAGCTTTCTCTAGCTTAAAAACCCTACTTAGGACAGCTGGCTAATGACTAGGGAAAATACCCAATGGACACCAAGTTTTAATGGTAGTGGTGAGGAATTTTTTATTTTTATTCGATTTTTATTACATTTTAGGTTGTTACAATTGTGTTAACATTTATAGCAGCACGGTACAGTAGTACTGCACTCCTCCCATGGGCCCATCAACCTCCACCAGCATTCCTACGTCCCATCCAGTGTGGGTTTTCTTCCACCCACACGTCTCCCCACACTGTTCATTATAAGGTTTGTGATCCAAGGCCAAGGGTTTGTCATTTTTTTGATAGCGTCTATTCCCTTGTTTGGCCTCTCTATAGTCAACACATGAAGGAGATCATCTGGTATTTGTTCTCCCTCGGAATTCTTGAGGCCAATTATCACAGGAAGGCAAAGCTATACAAAGCGACAATGGCCAGTGAAGTAGAATGTGACCCATCACCATCATGGGATCAAGTCATGTCCTCACCAGAGGATATGGTCACTGGCTATAACTCAGAGTAAAAGCCACACTTTTTAAGAAGACTTCCTGGCAAGAACCAATACAAACTATGGTACTCCAGATAGATGCCTAGTTCCAAACTTTTACATATTAAGGAAGAAAAGACTGAAGTTCTAAAAGGTCTCAGGAGAGGGAGTAATCATAAAATTCTAGAAGTCATTCCTAGGATACTCGGTCTTGTTTCACTTCTTTTGTTTGCTTCTTAGACCACTGG